CGCCCACGTGATGGCGAAATACCAACATCCATACAAACGAAACAATGAGCTGGTCCATCGAGGTGGGATTACGGTGTAGGGCTCTAACTTTGAAAACATCCCCAAACTAATACTGAAACGCCAGCGCACTCAACGAATGGCATTGGTGCCTGAGGATGAACTGAATTAAAGGCACAGCTCCTATTAAAAACCAGGCGGCTACACACGCTATCGCGTGCGCTGGGGACTCAAGCCATGAAGGACGGAGCCGGATAAGCTTCTGATTTTCAATATAGACCTTTATCATCTGAGCCTCTTCCCTGACACATCTGTAGCCGCCATCATTTGTTTTGTCTCAAAGGGGGCATAAAATTTTTTCGCTAGATCACAAAAATTCGGACTGACTGACAAGCAGTCCAAGGAGGGTGCTTGATGTGTAATAGAAAAGCTTGTCCAGCTCGGCTGGAGTATTAGCATGGCATACATAAAACTTCATTTTGAATCATGTAATTTATCAAAGCAACACTTCTGTATGCACAATATTCTTCAGCAAGGGCGACGGGGATTAATCAAACAACGACTTCAACCTTTTCTGATCTTGATTAACAAATATTTTGATTTGGGCTGTGTGTGGTCATGAATAGTATCCCTGTGAAATGGGGCTGTGTGTGGGCTGTATGAATAGTGCTTCGATGTATCCAAATCAAATACCTCTGGAGTCCATGTAGTCGATGAAACTGTGTAGTTAAGGCTGTGTGTGGCCATGAACATTAAGTTTGAAAGGACAACCTCTTTGAGTAGTTGTAGGGATATACACGTCTGTACAGGGTATCCACCTGTGTGGCCGAGGTTATTATAGAATTTATTCCATTAGTTCTGAAGTCAATGTAGTGCATTTGCTCTTGTGTAGAAGGGACTACTGTATGTAAAACCATGGATACTAAATTTTAGAAAACTTTTAGCATAATTTTTGAAAGAGCTCAGTGGTATCTCCTTGTAGTGCACCTATGTGGTCAGGGTTAGTGTGAAGGGCACATGCATAAATTTTTGATCTCAGCCACGTCGCCCCTTTTTGCATTTATAAAACGCGTCTTAAGAGACTCAATAACCTTGATGTAATCCCCGTCCACTTCAGCGCCAACCCCGCCCACTTGAGGGAGCTGACCACATTTGTTCTACTACATCTTA